AAAAAATCTCAAAGCTGCCAGTGGCCTCGTGTTGTGGGACCACTGCCCGAGTGGGAACGAGAGCTCTGGACTATGATGAGCTCCAACTTGGGATCCTTCACTCATTCCTGGCTCTCCTCCCACTGCTCCATTCCCAGCTCAAACTCGATGGTGGAGAAAAGAGAAAGGATTCAACATCTGAATCAACCTTGTACCAGCTGCTACCAGTTGTAGAGCAGGATCAGGATATGAATCATGGACCCCTATGGATTTTGGATAAGAAAATTATTCCCAAGGAGAGTCTGAAGCTTAGATTCAAGCTTAGGGTCTCTCAATCCCTATATTGTTGCTTGGGTTGTAAGTTTGGGGTTTTTTTTTACATTAGCCCTTTGGGCTCAGGGGTCTAATTACTTTTCCTTCCATTTTTCTTTAATGATAATATTTGAGTGACAGATCTTTTATTAAAACATTGTTATCAGAAAGCATCCAGGAGCAGGCAGGGCTAGTGCTCCACTCAGGGTTTCTATGCCTCAGGGAAGCTCTTCCTGGCTCTTACCTGGCCTCTGAAGAACAGAGGTTTGGTGTGCAGGTTTGGGGTAAGAGACAGAAAGACATGGTTGCCTCAAAAATTTGGCAGGAAATTAATGTCCATCACACCAGAGAGGGAAGTGGTGAGGCAAAGGAGAGATCCTTCAAGAGCTTCATCCCATCCCTTGTTCCTGGCAGGAGAGCTGTGATCAAGGAGGACGTGGTGTGGGCAGCTGATGCTGTATTCACCTTATTCCTTGTCCATGTGGTGACCACCCACACAGCAAAGAGCTGTGTCCTCTCCTCCTGATCCCATGCTCCAGGCACCTGACCAGCCCTGCGGGTGATCATGTCTTGGAGCCTTCTTTCAGAGCATGACTTTGCAGGAGTCATTTTTCCATGCTTCCTTCTCTCCTCCTGCTTTATCCACTGAGACCATGAGTTCCCTAGAACAAAAAACCTGCGGTGGTCCATCACTCCTGATACCAAGTTAGTGCCATCATGGCATCTTCTGACACAGACACTGCACAGAAAAGTCTGTGGAATATATTCCGTGAGAGGTCAAATCAGTTGCTCATGGATTTGAAGCAAAATGAGGTTTTATCCATCCATCCATCCTTTATTTTTTTTCTCCTCACTAAGTACATAATTCTCTCATTTTTCTTTAAAGACCATCCTAACATGAGACTTGATGCACTGGAGCCAGATCCTGAAATAATTCTGCTTATAAAGGTCTTACCTGAGGTTGTTATTGGGTTGCTGCATGTCTTCTCTAACCTCTCCCTTCTTCCACAGCACATTCTGGCTGCAATTTCCAAGAAAGTGTGCAAGAAGAATCCATTCGCTGTTCCCAACTTGCCTCACCCAGAGATTTTGGGATGGTATGACCAAGTGCCCAACACCAACTGCTCTGTGCCAGAGCACACACTTGACATGGCCCTACTTTCCAGCCCTCCCAGATTGGTTTCTGATGGGGTTTCTGCTCAGATAATCCAAAATACACCCAATGACTGTGGGAAAAGGTAAAAAAACCCACTATTTTGCTCTCTCTTGCCTATTCATGAAGCAGTTCTAATTATTTAATTTATTAAATGAGCCTGAAAGCCACAAGGAGCTCCTGTGAAAGGAGAGGAGACAGCACTTCACAGCTGGAGGGTCAGGTTTTGGCAGAGGGGCATCAGCAGCATCCAAGGTTGGCTGTGCCATCCCTCTACTTCCCTTCTGCTGGAGCAGAAGATTGGAAAAGCGGGAACTTTTGATTTTTTGATTCTGCTGCTGTGAGTCTCACTTTTCCTGAGAGTGAATGCAATGTCTGATTGAGGCATGGGGCTAACTCCCTTTCCTAGAGGCCACTTATCTTTCAGGAGACAATTTTTTTGGGAAGCCAATGTGCATCCTCACTGATGAAGGATATGAGCAGAAAAATTCCACCTGACATGCAGGGACCTTACCAAAGTCCTAAGGCCATGTCCACCCCTGTCACTGTGCCAGGAGCAGCCAAGCATCAGCTCCATCCCACTTTCCATCTCTTCAGCTCGTGTTTTCCAATATTATTTTCCAAAATAAAAATGATTATCAGGGTTTTTTCTTCCTTTATTTTGCTTGGCTGGGTCGCCTCTGTTTATTGCTCATTCCCATGTTTATCTCTGCTCCCAAGCACCTGGGGACAGGCTCTGTGAGTGGGGAGTTCTGGACAAGGCAGGATGTGGCTGTCGAGGCTCCACCTGAGACTCCAGATGGTGGGAAAAATTCAGCCAAAACACCCAATTTCCTGTGAAGTTCCTTTATTATTATTATTATTATTATAATTACTACTAGTATTAATATTCCTTTTATTAATGCTGTTTTTATCTTGAACTGAAATACCCACTTCCGGATTTTTTCCCAACAGAAATATTATGTCTGTTTTTGAGGGGAACCCGTGGACTGAGCAAGCAATGGGGCAAAAACCACCTAAACATTTCAGAGTGGGGTGAAGCAGTTGGATGGGAAAGAGCCTGGGAAGGAGCTGGGAACAAGGTGGTACCAAGGTGCTTAGGCTGGAAGCTTTGAACTTGAGTGAGAGATGTCAGGGGAGAAATACAAATAGAGAGGGAAAGAAAATAAATGAGAAGTACCTCTCCTGCACTCTTGTAAACCCGTAAAACCAGAGAAGCAGAGTCATGTACACCATGTGTGCCAAGGGAAAGCAGAGGAGAGAAAAATTGACAGCATTGCCCATTCAATGAGATATTCAGTAAAAAAACAAGTGACCTTTTGTGCTGTCTGGGGAGAAACTCTTCCATCATCTTTATGAATTTCCACCTTTGGCAACAGCTAAATAGTCTTGCTTATCTACCATCAAGATAATAACAGCCATACCATAAATTTTAACCCCAAACTATCATTATTTACTGGAAAAAATGAATGGTTTGCTCTGCACATGAAAAAAAGAGCAAAGCTTTTAGAGACCCTTTCAGGCTGAGTGTCCTCTCCTGAGGGCTCTCTCCTACTTGTTGGTGGGATGCACACTTCTTGCATGTTCAGCTCTTAGAAATATCCATGGAAATGTGCTCTTTTCTATCTCTTAAAACTTTTATTATCTTATTATCTGTTGCTTGCTACAGTGAGTCAGGTTGGGAAACACCGGGTGGTCAAGTCTCAGCCACTCATCTGCAAAATGGAGTTAAGGAATAAACACTGGAATTTCTTAGGGTCCCATAAGTTACAATAATTGGGGTTAAACCATTTGATACAGTCAGAAAAAGTGCCCAGATATTTTACCTCCCGCTCTGCCCCATGGAGGACACAGCCCAGGTAGAGGCAGGAGCCAGTCCCCAGGGCTGGCTCTGGGGCAGCTGGAATGTGATTTAATTCCTCCCCTCTCATTACCGCTTCCTGAGCCTGGGTGTCTATGAGCCCCGAGGAACAGCAGGGGATGAGGGGTAACATCAGTTTCTTAACAAATTCTTGTGTCATCTTCTTGACAGCACCTTTAAGCGCTGGATGACACTCAGGAATGATGTGGCTTAACCTCAAGGGTTCAAGCAAGGGAGCATTTCCCTTTGCCAAGGAGCAGCAGTAATTGCTGGAGAAGAAATCCATTCCAGCTTGCTCTGCCAGCAGCCACCAAGTGCTTCACCCACGTGGCAGGGACACATTTGGAGCTCCTGTGCTATCTACATGCTGTGTACTCTGGAGTACCACTCATTTTGGGGGGAGTGTCAGGATGGTTGGTCTTGATGGGCTTTTCCAGGCTTAATGAGTCCCTGATTCTCTGTGTGTGGATGAAGGGGTTATCATACATGCCCCAAAATTAGTACCTTTCCATGGAGGTGACGTGACAGACTCTGGACACTCCCTTAACCTGCTGCAAACAGGAAAGGGAAGGGGTTAAAGCACAGGAAAGGTGAGTTTAAGTGGAGGCACTCTGGTGCACTGGCATTCCAGTGGGATGGAGGCAGTCCCACTGGAGGAGTTGGATGCAAAGGCTTTCCTCAGCACTCCCTTTACACACTTAGTGTCTGGAGATGAATAAAAAGCTACAGTATCATTAAATCCCAGGGATTAAAGGTTTAACATGACCAAGAAGAAGAAGAAGCCTGGAGAGCATCAATTAATGTTTATATGTGGTTTCTATCTTGTCTTTTTCTTTCAGCCTTTGTCTGCCTCAAAAAAAATAATAGATGGGAACAATTTCTTCTGCCAAGGTCAGGCTTCACCAGTTAAGAGTCTTCTTTTTCCTCTCCAAAATGTTTGTAACAATTCAGTTTATAGGCTCATGATTCATGGGGCTTTCCCAGTGTTTATCTGTACATTGTTCCCTAGCACCAGCCTTTCTTATTATCCACACCAGGATTTTCAGCCCTGTCCCTCAGCCTGGGAAACCCAGGGCATTGCTGTCTCCCTGCTGGAGTGCTCTCTTCTCCCCCTCCCTCTCCAAAACAGAAAGATAAAGAACTTCCCATGGATATGGCATCAAGAGCTGCAAATTCCCACCCTCAGTGGCTCTTCATGAGCTGCTGTGTGTGACCCTGATCTTTCTTGGGAACATCTCCAGGTCATGGCTCATCCTTCATGGGATGAGCCTCTCCAAGGGAGGACAGAAGGTCACATGCAATCCCCAGCCAGAGGCCCAGAAGGTATAAGTGGCTCCGCACTGATTCACATCAACTGAAAATACAAGTTGACCACATCTCTTGGTTCCTGTACAGCCCTATGCTGAGCTGTTCTTGAACCAGGAATTCCAGCTAATCAAAAATTTCAAGTTACTGCAACAGGTGAAAAGAATGAGGGGCTGTTCCCTTCTCCTGCCCCGATGGAATGCAGATTACCATCTTAATTTTTTAAAAAACCAAACAAACCAGAAAACAACAACCACGGCTCCAGATATGTATTTCCTATCAGACTTACACTTGGATAAGCATTGCTGGTTCCCAAAGAAATTTGAGCCACAGAATATTCTGAGTTGGAAGGGGGCCCACAAGGATCATCAAATCCAACTCTTAAGCAAATAGCCCATACTGGAATTGAACCTGCAGTCCTGGCATTATTAGCACGATGCTCTGACCAGCTAGGCTAATGAACTTCATAAACCTGTCAGTTTTTCAGCTGTAAACTCCAGGTCTTGGGTGCTGGGAATGCTGAAAACTGGATGTTGCAAGATAATGAAATGAAAAGTTAATCTGCTTTTTTTTCTGGAAGCATCAATATGGGGCGAAATACAAACCCCAGTAATAACAGATGCTGCCTTCTCTGCATTTTACATCATTCCAGTCTGTCCTACAGATGTCTGTCCATTCCCTCTTTTCCTCCTGCTGTTGATCCCAAAAACCTGATGGAGATGTGCCATGCTGGGGACTGCAGATGAGAGGAGCTCTGTGCCATCCATTCCTCATCTTTGGTGGATTCACATATGGTGACACCATGTCACGGGTCCGAAATGCTCCTTGCCTGTGATTTTGGCAATCCTGCTGCCTCTATTTATAAAGCAAGATTGCCATGGAGGCACATCTGAAACAAGTGCAGTGCCAAGACAGGATTAAGCCTCTCTCATTGCAGCAATATTTTGTAGGAAAGAGGAATTATGAATCCCCTATCACATGCAGCCAGGGGCTTGGGACTGGCCACAGACCCAGCTGAGAGCATCCATCAGCTCCTGGGAGTTATCCCATCTTTTTCCAAAAGAGTCGTCATTATCCCAGCAGGGCCAGGCTGGGAGGCAACATAACACAATGAGGGGGAAACAGTGTGATCCTCTCTTTTTATCTTCCTTAGAATACAAGCACAGAATTAATTTTAACCAAAGGAAATCTCTTAAGAAGAGAAATTTACCCTGGATATCAATATTTCCAGTAATGGAAACTCCACCATACCCTGGGCACACTCTCCATACTCAATTAGCCACGCTGTTAAAATGTCTCCCCTGATGTCTCTATTATCCCTCCTCTCCATTAGGGAAAATCCAGTAGATGCATGCCATTTCAGATTTTAATGCAAAACAAAGAAAAAAAGGTTCACGTTCATTAGGAAAAACCCTGTCCTCAAAGACACGATTCTCCAGAGGCTGCAATTGCAGCTCTTTGTTCCTGACGGGAGCCCAAGAATTGATGAACTCCCTGACAAGTGCTCTTCTTGGAGGGGGGCTTGGCACAGTCCAGCCCTGTGATAAAAGGTTTTTTCAACCTCTGCCATGTTCACCCTGCCTCCATTCAACCCCCCTGAGCCTGAGCATGGGTGATTATTTCCAAATGGAATGGCTCTAACAGCAGGTGATTATTACCTCAGTAAGCATCTTGATTTCTATTTCCCCAAGTTAAAAACAAAGGCTGAACACAGCATCACCCCTCACAGCCTGCTCAGCGAGATTTCCCATTTTTAATGTGACATAAAGTACTAAGGGCTCCTGAAAAAAAAACCTGGATAAAAATTTACTTTTATTATTTACAAACCCTACTGACTACAGAGATGATGGGTTCAATTCTCCTCTCACCCACTGACAGCACAATGACACAATGCCAGGTAAGGGAAGGTGGGCAGGACTGTGACCTGGAGGCACACGAGGAGTTACCCAGGGCATGTCCTTGTCCCCATCCTCGATGAGCAAGAAGCAGATCAGCGCAGGAGGGAGGAGGAAGGGTGCACTGAGAGCCTAATGAGGCAGCAGGACTCCCTGCCAGACGATGCTTCTGAAACCCAAGAACCAAAGTGTAATTTCTGTGGGTAATGATACCTAGGGTCATTACAGCCAGGAGTAAGGAGCATTTGGAAGGCAGATATGGTGTCATGTACCAGGGTTAAGCCAGCTGCTGGAGGTCAGGAAAAGAAGGAAAGATTGCTCTGCATCAGTCTGAACTGCTCCTCGTATTCCCCTTGGCAGCCAGTGTGACACATACTGGACACATTGGAGTCAGCCACTTTTCTAAACTACTCCATGTTGCTCCATATTCTCCATTTCCACAGAACGGTTTGGGTTGGGAGGGACCTTAAAACCCTCTCATTAAATCCCCTGCCATGGATAGGGACACCTTCCCCTAGACCATTCTGTGCTAGTCTTCAGCTACAAGCAAAATCTAAGACATCTGCTTTTTGCTTAAAATGCTCAGTCATCAATTTCCATGCAAATCAAGGTCTGGTGGCTTCAGCTGTTAGCTAGAAACATGAAGGAGATTAGGGAAAGAATCATAATGCTGTGTACAGTTACTTAAAACAGTGTCTCCAAAGAATGACTCCCCTCTGCAGGAAACAGGATAAATTGTCTCATTGTCCACACGGGCAAGAGATAATCAGTTCAGACTTAACAGCAAACTTCAAGATGGTCAAAGTCAGGTGGATGAGGCCTGTTCAGACTAAATGAGAATAAAATGAGAATCAAAATATCAAAATGAGAATAAAAATATCTGCTTTAATTTCAAAAAATAAAAGTGGAAAAAAGTTCATTTCCCCACCTTTGACTTGTCAGTCTTGAAAGGGCTCATTTTTTGTGTACCATAAAAGCAACAAACAATTGACAAAATGAACCAACTACCACCCTAAACTGGAGGAGAAACAAAATTGTGTAAATCATTAGCAACGTCCATCAAGAAATGATGATATTAAATCCATTAAATCCTGGTGAAATCCACTGTTAATGGCTCATTGGGTTCAAGAGCATGACTGACAAGGTGGTCTGGAGGTGAGTTACAACAACACAGTGGTGGGACCTGCTGTATCTGAAGTGGCTCCGACCCAAATGGGACAGCAAAGCCTGTCAAGGCTTCACTGGAGGTGGGGATCCAACTGCAGACATTAAGAGCTGGTGGCTTCAACCTGAACCTCTCCAGCACTAAAGAACAACCCCACAGGAGCACTTGGGTGATTTTATTGACACTCAGCTTTGGGTGCCTTCCCCAGCTCACCCTTGATGGCAAACTCCACTCGACTGTGGGGTGTCATGATCCAGCTCCAGACCTGAATTCTCCAGCTTGTTCCCATCCTGCACCTGCTGGATTGCAGATGGTAAAAATAAAGGCTGTTATAATATTTCCCAGTGCACCAAAAACATATAAATTTGGGGAAATTTAAGACAAACTCCAGTCAAAGCCTCTCAAAGGAATTAAAATGCATTTCTTATGAGCAGCTGAACTCATGTCCATATTCTTGCTGCTCTCAGGGAGGACCCCTGGGGTTTGCACTCCTGCCACTTTTGTCTTTGTTATTTTGAGAACTGTGTTTCATCTCTTTGTGCCTTTAGTTTCTATATCTGTAAAATGGGCACTTCCTCTTAGAAGTTCTTCATTAACTAAAGTTGTCAAAGCATTAAAATCATAGCCATGGAGTTCTTGTTTTCTTGATTTCATGCTATAAAGAGAATAAAATCAAAGCAGATTGCTACAAAA